GAGCTAATCACGTTTAATCGGGATAAAAACAGTGACCTGTCTTTTCTTTATCATTCCCAATCATTATAGTACATTATAAACGAGGTACTACTGTATCTCATATTGAATATGGGTGGGATGAAATCTTCAGTTTATAATTTGATTTTTTCTCCTACTGTATGCAATGTTAAACATAATAATATATTGCTATATAACGAAAGAAATTGAATAAAAATTAAACAAAAATATTTAAAATAATTAAACTGAAATTTTTTAACCTCAGCGAAATGCCGTGATATTTAAAATAAATAAAAATTATGAAAGTTTAATTCAAATTAAAAAATATTGATGTTTTTTTTATACTGATTTTACAAAAAAAAATTAAATAAATTAAGTATTTTAGTTTAAGCAATAAATAAAGAAAAAAATAAGATAAAATTAGTTAAAATTTTCTAAATAATTTATAAAAACTTATTTTTATAATTTAAATAAATTAATTAAAGTAAAAATTTATGCAAACAATAGATAAATTATTATTAATTTATTAGTAACAAATTGTTTTTTCTAAAGTTATTTTAATTATTACAATTATTATAACAAAAAGATTAATTTTTATAGAATTTAATTTTTGTTAATAATTATTTTACTAAACATTATAATTATAAAATTGTGTCAAAATTCATTCCAAAAGATAAATTGCAGTAAAAACAGATAAAAATATTTTTAATCATGCATTGTAAATAAACATTAAAAAAAGTAGAAAGAAAGAAAGAAAGAAATTAAGTGGAAATACCTAAACTGAAATGAATAGAAAAAGAATAAAATAACCAAAAAAATCACATATCCAAATTTAAAAGTCAGAATAAAATGTAATAAAATTTCATTGTATACATTCAGGTGCTCAAACCATAAAAAAAATGTTTATTTACATACTTAAAATGTTAAAAACGCAATAAGTAAATAAATCACATTTAACATAGAAATAAATACAATAGTTTTAAATTTAAGCGTTAATCTTAAATATACAACAAAAAACAAAAACAAAAACTAAAATATATATAAAATGAATTAATATATAAAAAAGATTCGTAGGCTAAATTGTAATATTTTTATACTGGCTTCTGTGAATGATATTCAAATAGTGATGATATATATATATATATACACATATGCTTATGAGGAAAATGCTAATTTTGTTATGTATGTCAGCCTAGTTATAGAAATCGAACTAAACTTTTTATATTTTTTAATAACTTAAACAAAAATTAAGAAATTATGTATAAAATACTTTCATATACACTATACTATATATGTATACATATATATTATAACGTATCTTACGACAAGTATCTGCATATGAACATACGTGTGTAATTTTCAAAATATTTTAATTTCATTTATGTATCTAATGCTTTTACATAAAAGAAACTTATATATATATATAAACGTATATGTAAAAATGAATATTTAAACTGAAAGGGAAAACTTAATTACATTTAAAGTGTCATATTTTTTAGAAAAATCAAACTTACAACAAATTTCTATTATGTCTGGTGATATGAATGCGAAATTCATTTAAAAAATACAAAAAAAAAGTTATATATATCTATACGAAATTAAATATATACTAAATAATAGTATCAAACAAAAAAAAAAGTAATAAATTTATAAAATATTTATATTATTTTATGCATGAAATAAATTTGGAGCTGATGAGAAACAAGACAAAGGAAACGTTTTTTTTATAAATTTTTTTTTTTGTGCTATGGTTGAGAACTTAATTTTCTATTGTAGAGCAGCGACGACTATAATTATTCTGGGTCTGGCCAAAATACCCGTCATTTCAGCGTTCTTTTTTTTTATCTCATGTGCTTCTCTGTTGTGTTTATCGTGGTTTAACGGTACCATATAAAATAAAGTGATGTTCTTACGGCAGAATTAAGTCCTCCAACAAGTCCTCCAGAACTTAATTTTCTATTGTAGAGCTGCGACGACTATAATTATTCTGGGTCTGGCCGAAATATCTGTCATTTCAGCGTTCTTTATTTTATCTTATGTGCTTCTCGGTTGTCTTTATCGCCATTCAACTGTACCATGTAAATAAAGTGTTGTTCTTACGGCAGAATTAAGTCCTCCAATAGGTAGTTACTTAAGCACAACTTAATTAAACGATCACCATTATATTATGTCCTGGTTATGTCAATATGCTGATGTTATTGCTTCCCACTTTTTTATTAAAACCACCAATAATGTAAAGAAGTTTCAGTTTTGCATGCTATCTATACTACCTTGAAGCAGGATTTATAAGTCCTCTTTAAAACCTTACCCTGTTAGTGCGATTGTGGCGGTTGAAATTTCAAATGAAATCATTCGCCTATCAGTTGATCTGAGACTGGTTTCCATTACTGATTGTTTTGTTTTTCGGAAAAATGAAAATCCCACAACGTTAATATGATTTCGTAGGTTTCTGTTATAGATGAAAGAGTATCCTGATTATATCTTTTGATCGCTTGTTTTCTGCTTACAAAAAGATTATGCAAAAGTTGTTATACTGAAGATAAGGTGGAGTTCATCAATCATTGTCAGTGTCTCTGTAACTTTATTATCTGGAAGACGTAATAAAGGTAGGCTTAACCAATCTCTCTAACTTCAACTAGAAGACCAAATGTTTAAGGAAAACAGCACTTAGTTTGGTACGCCGCAATGGCCATTTGTTGGCATTACAAGAGACAGTAGATGTTTCCAAATTGGATGACTGATATATTAAAAAGTATCATCTTAGCTTATGTATGCTGAGAGATCTTTTTCGTTAAATTAAAAGCACACAAAATGGCAAAATGATGGAAATTTTCATTGACGAAAATGGTTACGCGGTTAAATCTTTATTCATATTGACAAATAGTTTTCAAATTATGTTTTTTATTAGAAAATATTATCATTTCAAATTATGTCATTTTAAGAAAATGCTTTTCAGGCGTGAACAAATGTTCTGTCAAGAAAATATGGAAAATCGAAAAAAAACAGAATTACTATATGGCTGTGTGAAGTTGTCGCCTGTATTAGGCTAGAACACCTGCGGTATCTGCAGTATCTAAAAAATGGTTTAGATCTAATCAGAAAAATAGAAGACAGAGAAAGCCTGCTTCGTCCTTAACAACAAAGTATCTTTCATTGATTTTAAATAAGTTTTGAAAAGAAATGTTTGTTTGACGTAACTGCGATTCGATAAATATATTATATCTGGAAATTAGAAAAAGAAATCTATTATTTTTTACCTATTTGTCATTGGATTTATGGAAGTTGATGACTAATTTATGAAAGCTCTTATATTTTGCCCTCTGTACTTTGAATTGAAGTTCTTAAAATGATGTCAGTGTTTTTAAAATAATACGAGCTGCTTCAGTATTACAAAAGATTCGAATTTAATCTATCACACCGAAATGGAGGGAACAGAACTGTACATATAGGCGTATTATATGGTATATAAAGAATGAAGATTAGCAAAAGATTAGGCGACCTTAACTTCTTCATTTTATCTTTAATAGAATTTTTGATAAATAAATAAATAAAAATATTTAAATTTAAAAACGTGTTTATTAGCGGCGAAAATGAAAAGAATATTTTGCAATTCTTAAATAATATTCTCGCTGGGGAAATCACAAATTAAAGCTTTTATTGTCTACAATATTTGTTTATATTTTTAAAGAAATGTACAGAAATTATTAAATAAAATAAAAAATATATAAATTAAATAATAAATCAGTTTTTATTGTAATTTATATTAAAATTGATCTACATTTTTTAGTTTTAGCTCGTAACGATTAATACTCTTGCAATAGCAATAAACGCATAGCATTACCTTCATTGCCTTCAATCCTGATTTTTCGCCATATCTACACCTGCCCCACATCATTATCATATAACAATATCATATACAAATATAATCAGTTTTCTTCGTCCGTAACCCTATACTCTATACTTTATGAACGGGTAGATGGATCTGGTCCCGTTTCAATAGCTATTCAATAGCTATATAAGTTAGATGAATATCCGATTTATTAGATTTTTAATTTGTAAATGATATTTTGACTAACTTACTAGATTTATAGAACGGGTCTGTAAAAATAGCTAAATAATGGGGAAATAAGTTTTGTTCAACCCAATAAAAATTTATTTAGATTTTTTTGTTATATATCTTTATTTACATTATTTCAATTTATGAATAAAATAGTCCACTATAATATTTTATTAGTTGTCATATCTGTTATACAATATATATATATGTATACTTATTTGGTTTATTCTGGTTTAAGTGCTATTAGTTTTGAGGTCTTAGTTTGTCTAAGAGGGATTAGTTTTGAGGTCTTAGTTTGTCTAAGAGGGATAAAAAGTTTCTAGAACGTGTCAGTTACATTATAGTATCCAGTAAGTCGTATCTTTACTCTTTCCGACCGTGCTTAGCACATAGTAATATATATTTAAAAATTTTACTCTCGGGTCAGTTCAGAGTTTTTCTAAAAGTTATAGATCCCTTACTAAAATTTAGTATTAGTTTAGTGCACGTACGGTAAAGAGACGTCAGTGCTCAAATATATTAAAACCAGAACTGGTATTGAAATTGTTTACAATAACTTAACATATAATTAAATATTTCTCTAGGATCCTTTAAAGATTATTTCCAAGTGTATAATAACTATTTTCAACAGCGAATTATAGACATAAGTTCTATCGCTAACTGCCTCAATTATTATTAGAAATTACTTTATTTTATTACTATTTTACCTAAAGGTCTTCATTTTACTGTTGCTAAACTTAGAGATATCATATATTATCTATTTTCTAATCACATTTTATCTTATTTATTAATAAAAATATATTTTAACCATTTAAATAATCTACGTAATTAAATTAAATTAAATTATTTATCTTTAAAGCTTTCTTTATTCGAAGATATGGAAAGCATTGACCAATACAATAAATACTCAGACTGTAGACTTAATCCGTCAGTTGAAGAAGAATATTCGCCTTAGTTTTTACTCTTGCAACGGTTCGAATTGTGTCGGGAAAATAAATATTTGGGGACTTACCCAAATTCATTAAAATCACTTATACCGATTTATAACGATTAACTTTTGCTGAAAGTCCTTTGATCCTTTAAGTCAGCAATAATGGCGTAAGTGAATTTTGAAGTGATTTAGTGATGTGATGACATGAGCTTTAAATAATATATCACACTAAAATTATATATAGTTTTGGGTGTATATATAAATTTAGAATTATGTTAATAAATTCAAAAGTTATTAAACAATGTGAAGTTATTACTGTTCGGAACTATTCTAAAAAAATGTCCAAGGTTCATACAAAATCTGTGTTTAATATCTATATTCTGTGTAAAAAGTATCTAGGATTATTATATAAATTCAAAAAAAAAAAAAAATTCATGAGTCAATTGAAATTTATGTGGCCAACTTTGGCAGCACTAACTTAATCCCAGCTGGTATCGTAGCAAACATCAATTATAAAAAATTGCGAAATTACTGAATTTAACCTAATCCAGGGCTTCCTTTCTGTTTTCATAGGGGGATACTTCATATAATGGGTTCCCAGCCTAAAACATAACCTCTTATGTCCATGACAAAGGTTTCGTTATACACATTAGATCATTACTCATGAATGATTGTAGTTATCCAGAGGGGGCCAATTTGGAACAATCAGTAACAAGGATCATGTTGGGACTTACCAGGTTATTGTTTTGTTTTTTAATCTTACTCCTTCTCCAGGTATACATTTGAGTTTCTTTCAACGACGAGAACAAAATTTCTAATATGTCTGCATCTGAAATTAGTAGAGAAAAATATTAGAAGCACAGAAATAGAAATTGCCAACTTTAATTTTTTGTTTTTAAGACATTCCTCCATGAATTAATTAGCAGGAAAGCTCTATATTGATAAAAACTAAACTAGGAAATATGCTCGCTGCCTATCATAAATCCCTGTGGTAAGGACCTGACATAACCCCAGAAAGTATATAAAAAACTATTATATATATTGCAAAATACTGTAAGTCAGTTGACAGAATGAACCAAAACAATCCAAAAATAAGAAATTTGACTTCATCAGATATGTGTTTCGTCCTGTTATTGTCGTAGTTGTTCAATTATGAAAATAAACTTTCCAAGAAAAGTAGGCGAATTTTTTTTCTTATTTTTAAGAGAAAAATGGAATTTCTCCAACAAAATCTGTTGAAAAAATTCAACCTTTCAATAAAGAACGCTTCGTACTGGTCGATTGGGACGACCTAATGATACCTTCAGAAAAGTCATCATTACTTAATAATTCAAAGCAAGTATATCCATATAATCAGTCTTCAGAAATAAAATTATTTTGTTGGCATATCATTGAAAAAAAAAAAAAAAGTTTTAAATAATTTTTTTTTTGTTTTTTCTAAATTAAATTACAAATGAAATGTTTCGATTTACCCGCAAATATGTCAAAATTTTCAGTATGAAAAGTATCCGCTAAAACAATTTATTTTTGCAGTAACTGTTTTAAGAAAAACGCAATTTGGGTTTGGATTTTATTAGCCGCGGCGGTCGTGGGAATTATTGTGGGTCTTATATATGGCTTAGCCCCCAATAATAACGAGGACGACGCCTACAAACCAGGAGTTGGTGCTATTGCTTCCAATGGCGTAGATTGTGCTAATATTGGCGGGTAGGATACGATGAAAATCACTTATTTAGTGTCGACTTGCTTTTTACCATTCAAACCTCTTTTTATTAGTAATATATTGCGACAAGGCGGTTCTGCAGTTGATGCCGCGATTGCAACATTGCTCTGCGAAGGTGTATTACTACCCCATAGTTTGGGAATTGGTGGTGGCTTTATAGCAACGATATACACTAAACACACTGGAAAAATAGAGACGCTTGTTGCACGCGAGACAGCACCAGCGGCCGCAACTGAAACCATGTTCGTCGACAAGGAAATTACGGGTACCGATAAAACGACTTCTTTAATTAATAACGAATAACATTGAATACATCGAAATATTTTAGGCGCATTATCTGCTGGAGTTCCTACAGAAATATTTGGTTACTGGCGTCTGCATGAAAGATACGGTGTGCTTCCATGGAAGACACTATTTGAACCAACAATTGAATTGTGTAGGAAGGGCCATACAGTCTCAAAACAATTAGCAAATGTGCTTCAACAACATGAAGAACGCATACGCAAAGAACCATCTATGGCAGAAATATTCATTAATCCCGCAGATAATCAAGTATATAAAGAAGGTGACACAATGTACCGCCCAAGATTGGGAGACACTTTAGAAGCCATTGCAGTTGAAGGACCGCAAACAATTTATGGAGGTGGACGTATTGGCAGACTATTAGTAGACGATATACAAAGCATGGGTGGCATTATAACTGAAGCAGATCTACAAACTTATGAGTACGATGTATTATATATTATATTTTCAATATTAATTAATCTTTTTATTCATGATTTTCTTATAGACCACGTTGGGAACAACCAATTGTTACAAACTTTTCTAATGGCTACACATTGCACACATCACCTTTACCTTCAAGTGGTGCGGTATTATCATTTATATTAAGTGTTATGGAACCGTGGACAGCTAAAGATATAGGTGAAGAGGTCTACTGGCATCGAGTTGTAGAAACTTTTAAGCACGCCTACGGTCATCGAACGAATTTGGGAGATATTCGTTTTAACCCCGAAGTAGCTGAAATTTATAACCAACTGCTTGATCCCCACTTTGCAGCGGAGATCCGGGCTCTTATTAAAGATGATATTACATTCGAAGACATGGCATATTATGGTGCTAACTTCACAAATGTAGAAGATCATGGAACAGCTAATTTAGCCGTGCTAGCACAAAATGGCGATGCTATTACAATTACCAGTACAATTAATAGTCAGTAAGTGTTGCAATGTTATATTGTCTTGAATTATTTTATTTTAACTAAATGGCATTTTTAGTCTTGGTGCTAAAGTTCGTTCCAGACGTACTGGCATAATTCTAAACGATGAAATGGATGACTTCTCCACTCCAGGCGTTGTTAATTTTTACGGCATACCCGCATCGCCAGCAAATTACATTAAACCAGGTAAAATTCCCATGTCATCAACTTGCCCCAGTATCGTACTAGACAAGGACGGAAATTTACAACTCTTGATTGGCGGAGCCGGAGGTGCAAAAATCACAACATCAGTGGCACAAGTAAGCTAAATACCCTTGTCTGTCTTAATTTCACTATAGATTCCGAATTTTTTAGACTATTCTCCGTTACTTTATGCTGAATCAATCAACTGATGAATCTGTACACGCTGGACGTGTTCATCATCAGTTGGCACCAATGGCAGTGGATATCGAACCAGATGTACCACAATCCACAAGGGACTATTTACTAAAGGTTGGTCATCATCTCAACTACTTACTACCTGACAAAGCATATTCAGCATTGACTGCAATCGGTCTTAAATCAGGAAAAACGGAACCAGTTTGTGATCGTCGCCGTCCTGGTAGCACAATTCTTGTAACTTAATATAATTATAAGACAGGTTTTCATTAATTTAAAATTTAATATTATCATTTAATAAACAATACCTATCAAATTGTTGTTGTATTAAAATACATAATCTTTTGCGTTTCTTCATTCATTTTTAAAAATTCAGTGATACATTACTGCCTTTGATTATTCTTTCTATATCTATGCCAGATATAAATGTTAATGCTGAAAAGAAATACTCTCGAATTCGTTTAGAGTAAATGAGACAACTCTTTACTTTAGATCGTCTGTTATATTTATATTCTGCAGTATTGCAAAGAAGATTAATATGTTTGGGGTCCCACAATTTGGGAAGGTAAAATAAAGATTCTTGGAATAAAACTTCAAGCTCTCCTCAAATACTTTTAAAACGTTAAAATCCTATAAGAAGACTACTGCATACCTCTGTAGAGGTCTTGCTTCATCTGGTATCGTTAAAGACCAAAACCATTATGCATAACCTAAGATATACAATAATATGTATAAACCCATTCGTTTTAGATATGTTATGCCAGTAAGTTTTAGTTGATCTTAACATGTATATTGAATCTCTCCGACAAATCTATAAATTTTTCTATATTGAGATCTATATATGACGCAGAGAATGACATATAGATAAATCAGAATATAACATTCTTTACTGCTTTAAAGAGTGAAGCAATTCTGGGACCAGAAAAAAATTTTCAATAAAACAAAATATATTTTTTGATCAGTTTTGGTTGGATAGGTTTAAAATATGAATAAAACTATTTTTTTTTTTGTTGCTAGAGCTCGACAGTTTTCCGTTCCTAAAACAGACTAGTTGGATTGTCTTTTCAGTGTTTATGATCATGACATCCTTCATATTTTGCTTAATAACTATCTCTTTTATGTTAGTTTTGGCGATGTCACCATTTAACTCTACCGTTAATGGCTGAACACTTGGATGACGACAGGATGGAGTGAAGTTGACATGTAGTTGACCGTATGCAGTTTTTACCGAATTCAATATATATAGTGTGTTTTTTGATCATAAGTGGTAGCGAAGGATGTTTTCAGAAAATATTGAGAGCAATTGGAATATTAAGAATTCAGTTATACAAGATCTTTTAAGCTAATTCTAGAATAAACCTTTGCAGCCTTTGCATGGTTTATATAAACAAAATGTGACTTTATTTTTTTCATTTTTAAATTTTAAACATTTCTGCTTTAGAATATTTTAAATAGACTCGTTAAGAATCTTTTTGGAAAAACCGGTACTGCTAATTCGCAACTTTCTCTAATCGTTCTTAAAACGGCTTCGCCTTGAAATCAAACTGGTTGTGTGCGTCTTATGCATTATTAAAAAAATTATATCGAATAATTTATAGAAATTATTAGATTTTATTGATATGTATTTTAATTACCTAATTATTTATTTCTTTTCAAAGTTTTGATATTTTACTTTACATTGTCTTAAAATATATAATACCCTTCACACATATTTGTAACAATTGTATTATATTGTATTATATGCGACGCTCACAAAATAAAAACTTCTGCTCCTTTCCGAACTAGTATCCACCTTGGTGACACTGTGCCAGACGGATTTTCACTCCCGCCGATATGTCGTCCCACAGGCCAACCTGTTTGTATTCGTGTTATCTATCCTTTATATTTTTTAAATTTACTTTTTTCTTGTCTCCAAATTTTTATATAATATGCGACAAACATCCAAGTTATTTCGCTTTCTATTATACTTTCCTCTACTGTGACCATCGTCACATCGTGAGCGCCGTCGCTTTCCCATTTTTTTTTAAACATTTAAACAAAAATATCTATGGATCGTGAATATCTGTTTATGATAGTAAGTTAGGTCATCGTTTCTTATTCTAGACATATATTCAGTGAGGTACAAGTTTGGGTTTCCATCCATCGTTTCTTTTAGCGTTCCATCTTTACTTCCAAAATGTAATTATTCGCTCTCAAAATTTGTCAAAATTATGAAAATATTATCTTTTTATCATTTAAAAATATTTGAGTTGTTTAATACAATACAAAGAATTTTGAATAATTATGCAAGGTTTCTTCATAACCCCTCTCTTATCACTTCATCAGTCTAAGCAATAACTGATCTCACATCTGCATACCTCCCCAAGGAACCTGTAATCATTCTGAGATTCGATAACGCGGTGTTGGTAAGCCTGTCTATCCTTTATGTATTTTTTAGTCGGATCAATCTTGAGGTCGCTAAGGTTGTCATTCGTCCTAATGTAACATGGTACCTTGAAAAGTCTTCTCAAAGCCTGGCTTTGTGCAATTTCTAACTGGCAAATAGTAGTGTTTGAGGCCTTGCTAAACCCTACGCATCCTAATAGTAGTGACGGTCGAATTATTTGGTTATATATCAGTTTACTTAGCATTGAGATTTTTATTTCGTTATATAAAATCTTGTTCAGTAACTTATTTCTAAATATACACGTTCATATCACATAATTTTCCTCATTAAAATAAAACTGCTTCCATTGCTACATCGATTTTGTATATTTTAGCACTTGAGCACATTGCTATTAACTAAATTGTTTAAACAATTAAAGCAATTATTCATTTTATAACAAACTATAAAACTGACATATCATCTATTCTCTGCCTAAAAACCTGAACCAAAGATAATAAATATATATCTTTAACTGAGCATCAAAATGTTGTTTTAAGAGCTAAACTTACTCTCTTAAATTATAGTACAGAGTACAGAGAGAGTGACTTTTTTAATTAGAACTTTTTGAACTGTTATTAAAATACACCTTCAGAAACGGCAGTTTTCACCTGATAACACAGACCAAAAATAATAAATTCTATAGAATTTTGCACAGACTTCGTGAGAGTAGAGTAGATCAACAACTTATCGCTTATTGGATCGTTGCGCTCTCCGGTGTGCCGCTCTATTGAAAATTTAGATTTTGTTAACATTTTTTTAAATGGTTATTAATCTTGACAGGTTTTAATGTGGGGCTTTCAAGCAAACAATCAGTTGACGTTCACGGCTGTGAGGGTACAGTTCGTGCGGTGCCCAGAACAAAGTTTCGGTGTCAGGTCAAAGCTTTTTATAAATAATACTTCTGCAGGTCCTTGGGGAAGAAATATTGGAGTGTTGAGCATTCTATTTTAAATAATTAAAATTTAAAATATTAAAGTAAATTTCATTGTTAGAAAAAATGAAGTAAGTGGATATTATTGCAATAATTAACTTTTATATAAAAATGACCGCGTTATCAAGCATTAAATTGGAAAAATATGGACGTCTAATGTTTTTTCAAGTTTTTAATTATTTTTCTACTAAAAGTTAAATAAAAAAGTGTTTAATTAGTTAAAAAAAGTTAACTAATTTTGTTCTATATTTATTTATTTTATTTTTTCGAACGTTAATGACAAAATGTAACTAATGATCGTGTAAACTAATTCATTCTCTTTTAATTGTTGCATTTTATTTGGAATTATTTAGAAAATGTTTAAATAGTTTCTGAATATTTTGTAATTAATTTTAACTGCTTTTTTCTGTCGTGATCGTGACTTCATGGAATATTCAATAAGTAATAGAAAGCAAATATTGCAAAAATTATAAAAAATTGTAAAAAACGAAACGAGTTTTAAAAGCTTCATGGATTTACGTATTTACCCGTATTTTTTAAATTTTATTTAAGTTTTTATAAAATTTACGTTTGGAGTGTGAGAAATGTATAAGCCGCAAATTTATAAAAACTTTTTGACGTAAACAAAATAAATATCGCGTATCCCTGGGTTTCACAAAATTTTTTGCTATTCAATCCAAGGTGAAGACGTGCTTTACCTACAACTCATGTGCTATGCTATTAATGGAACGATAGGTTATATTTGTTTGGGAATTTTTTTTTCATTCTCTCTACTCACTTCTATGGCCTTCTACTTGAACCGTTATGCGATATAATTATTATAGAACATAATTATCGCTTAAGCATATATATATATGTGCTAGCAATGAATGAAATTTCGCAGATCCAATAAACTAAGAATTAATATATCTTTCCTTCTATCTACTTACGTGAGTATATATTTTTTACGAAAACTTTTCAGGAATCAATATCAGTTAGCATTACAGATTAGAGTTAGGTTTATGACTCTCCCGTTTAAGAACACGCTTATGAAACTATGTACTTTCTAATTATGATTGTGAGTGAATGGAATTCATCAAACTACTAAATACTTTCAAGCTTTAAATTAAATAAACTATATTATATGTTACACTCAAGTGGAGTAATAGGGATTATTGTCAGCGTCTACGAGAATTTTTCACTCTATGGTCTATAATCATTATTATTGCTTTTGGCGGAGACAATGCGACTTATAAGATTTATTGTATTTATCGCTGAAGGAAGTTACAGAAGCTAACTATTGGCAAACCTAAAAACGTATCTTTTTCCAAGATCTCAACCTATACAGTTTAATGAAATCTGTATATAGGTGCTAGGCTTTGTTTCCTTAGATAATATTAAGGTATGTAGTGATAAGTAAAACGAAATTTTCATTCTGCATTTTACAGATATTCCAAGTAATGATAACCCTTACTCCTAATCTTTAAAAAGTAGTAGTTAACAGGAAATTCTATTAAGAAACCAGTCATTAATCATAAGTTTAAATCTATTTAGGCTGAAAAATCTATCGGCTTTATTGTCGTTGACTTGAATAAATTGTTTATATTGTCTTGCCAAACAGTTTATATAAAATACAATGCTTCTAATTACAATTATAATCTCACAAGTACATATCAATCCAAAAACTAGTTTTATAACGCTTTATACTAGTTCTATAAAGGTAGTTAGCGCCAGTACTAAGTTTCAAAAATCTTCGAAGGAAGAAACAAGCATTCCACCTGTTTTATTGCCGTTGAATGGCACTTGACTAGGTTTTCAAACGATTGAGCCAAGACAACTCACTAAAAATATTCTAACTGAATTTAACCCTTACTTTAAAAGTCCAGAATTTATTACACGCGCCTATGGGTCAAAAAATCAATGGCCTGTTTGAGTTACAATAACAGCAATTCCATGACCTTTGCAAGATG